TGTTGAAGTGATGTTTTCTTATCAATTGTTGCGCTATTGGCAATGAGAGCTTCAATTATTTCATTACCCTTAGCACCCTGTCTGCATAAAAAGAATACCATAATTTCTCACTGTTGAATCCCAAGCATAGAACCGAAGTACACAAAAAAGGCAGGAAACTTTATCATTCTTTTTCATCAAGTCTGAAGTGAGGAGACAACAATAACGTTGAAAATCCAAACAAAATAAGAAGCCCTCGCCTTCTCATTGTTTTTATTATTTTATTGTCGATCAACGACCGGTTGTCCCTCAACTCAGCGTTGGGTTGATCATCTTTTGACTCGGCTTGGAATGGACTATCTTTTATTCCTTCAGTGTTATTAACATTACCTAAATATCAGATCAAGATGTACGATGCAAGTTAGAGTGAGAGTAAATGCAGAGTGCAGGGGAAGTATATCTTGATAAACCACGCAGAAGCCGATATTGCAATGTATAAACAAAGCTATTAAAAAATAAATTGGGATTGGATTGGACTAGTTGCTGGCTAAGGTGCGGCAGTTTAACTGTCAAGACCCAAATTTCTAAAGAATCGGATCAAATTCTTCTGCTTTGAAGACCAAAAACATGATGGTCAATATAAATATACTCTAGATTTCTCCGGTTGATTCATCAGTAATTTTGCAATTCCTCTAGATTACTCCATGAGCTATATCAATCATTTACTATTGGTCTAACTGTTTTAGATTTTGAATGTATAATAAAACTTCAAAAGTACATCAAGCTGAATGAACTTAATGCTGCATACACGATGACTTCCTGGGAAAATTACAGGACTGTCAAGAATTTATTGAAAGTCGTGTAGAACATACTGCCAGTAACTAACTAATTAATCATTTTACACAACAACAAAAAAACACAATCATGCAATGAAACACTGAAGAACAAACAAAGTGGCAAGACATAAAGGCTATGTACATATACAACATTTTCAGAAAGAAATATTTTAGTGACTCACCGGGACACTACTTATGTGAACATGATCAATTGAAAAGTGTGGTGGGTATGTGAGAAATCTTACGCCAGTTTTTCCTTCGCTTCCTCCGCACAAATAACTGACGTATGGTTTGGAAGAATGACATGTTGACGCGGTGGAACACGTAAATTCTCAAGCTTCTTCTGCAGTTCAGAAGCAGCTTCCTCAGAATCAAGGACCTTAGACACAGGCGGCAACTGTATGGTAGCTTCAGCTGAAACAACGGAAGACTCGGATACAGTAGCTGGTCCGGAAGCCTGGTTAATTGCATGTGTTGGCTTTGGTTTCCACTCCTTAATAGAACCAGTAAAGAAAAACATTATAAATCAAGATGGAAACCAACTCGTGATCATAAATGTCCTAACCAGAAGATTTGTTCTCAGAAGTGTTGGCCACATTTAATTCCGCAGGAGGACATTGGCCTCCCACTTCCCGCTTAATTGCACCAACAGCACCAGGAAAACGTGATGATGATGCCGGTCTAGTCCCTAAGCCGTCACTGATGGAAGGCACTGACTCACTTCCAATAACAACTTTTGCACCTTTGTTTGAACTGTCAGAAGGAAAATCCTTACCGACAGTAATATTACCACCATCCGATGGACTAATTCTATCTACATTTCCAGTAGATGAAGGGCATGAATTCACATTAGTAGTTCCAGATGATACAGTTGTAGGCCCATTGGCAATAGCTGGAACAGTGCTGCAAATGACAGATAGTTATGTAGTTTGATCGAAATGTATCAGAGCTTAAATTTGTTATCATGGAATCTGATGGAAAAATTACAATATAATCAGGATTTAGAAGAGTGTGAAAAGAAACAGAATCATACCTGGTAACCCATTTTATCAATCATCTCCATCACTGCTTGGTATAAAGTAGGCCTAGCCTGATACAGCAACCAAATAGTTAGAATTCATGTGGCTATATTATATACAACCAGAATCTTTCTGGATTGAACAATTGATTTATGACACATCTTGGAAGAACAGGTAAAATAAGTTGCAAGTCTTGAGATACATGTGACAGTAAAATAGTGAAATTCAATTCAACTGATAAAGAAGGCATACAATTGGAACGTTGCGAACTGCTGCCATTAGTAAGACGCTTGGCATCTCCACTGCAAATAAAAACATTGCAGAACTTTAAAACTGTAAAATTCAAGAAACAAACTTATATGATTATAGGGTGTGAGAAAGACATACAAACAATTATAGGAAGAAGTAGACCGGTCTCGTCTTCCATCTTCAAAACAATAGCGGGGTGTGGTGAATAATCCGGAAGATGACTTCCTTGAGGATTGTTATGAACACATCTCAAGTGTCTACCATCTCTCATTTTGATCATGAAACCATCTGCTCCACCTCTCACCTCAACTAGAAACAAAATCACAAAACAATCAATTCTTGCACTAGCACTACACAAATTTGGTTAACCAAAGATCGAAAAAACCATTCACAACTAAAAACATCTTTGCGTCACATACAGATAACTCGAAAAAGACCATATCGATCACACTTACATTTACTTTTATTTCTATTAACTTGCAGTAGCTAAACATACCAGCTTCAATCACACTTGAATTACAATATATTGTAACCTATATACATCTATGCTTAACAATAATAAGATATTCTGAAGAAGTTATTCATCTGGAATTTGAAAAGTGCGACTTTGATGTACCTTTGAGCTAGTTTTGATGATCCCTAAAATACTATCTTGTGACATACACTCCACTCCAAAACACAGACCTAACAGTTACAATGAGTAGAGATGATAGAAACAGCTCCTTACTCAAAAGTTTGGTTTATTCAAAATTAAAATATTGACTTTTTTCACTTATCATAAACATATCCATAATTCAAACTAATTCAACACTGCTATAAAATTAATATAAGTAAATCTAAACAGACCTTAATTCTTATAAAAATTGATGACCAACCATAGATTCAAAACTTTCAGCTTTCTGCATAAACTAGCTAGATAAGCCAAAGCTTTGTCACTAAAAGCCGAACAGCCGCTGATGTTGAGTTTTGCAAGATCACAACAACCAAAAGCTATAGCATAAAGCGAACGGTCGGCAAGCTTGGAACTTTTGCTGAGGATTTGGTTCTGGAATAAGAAAAGGTGATAGGATTTGGCAAGTTGCATTTGGTTCTGGATTTAAGTGTAATACTGCTGTTTGGTGTGCATTAAGAAATGTTGATCCAATTAAGGAGATTAATCCTTGGAGTGATGAGGTTCATGAGTTTAAACTCGAATGCAACTCAACATCACTACTAAGCACAGAAACTGAACTTCAGTTAACAACATTCATAGTCAAAGTATGATATCTACTTATACACATTTACTTTTAATGATAAACATGGAAACAAACAACGAACTACAGTTACAACTAAGGAACTTTCAGAAATGGAAAACCGCACCTGTCGCAGCATTCAGCAAGCGATTCCACCCCATTCTCCACGCTATCCAAAGCCTGACGAAGAAATCACAGAGAATTAAACCGGACCAGATCCGATCAGAACTGCAAAAGCAACTGATCTAACTGCACGATAAGATTAAAAATGATACATCTATAGACGCGGTAACATAATTTTAGTAACAAAATATTCTTCCTTAACACCCCAAAATCATTAAAATCATTAAAATGGTTGTGTATATGTTCTTGTATAACCTTAAGAGCGATTCATAAAGTAGGGGGAAAGGTTGTAATCACATGTTCAGAAAATCATTATTTACCTACAATTGACTAAATTGACTAAGGCAGCAGGCACATCCAAGGACATAAGTTTTAACATCGATGCCAATGGTCAGATATCAGTTCAAACATCCACATTCCTGGCATAAAAATGCTTCAAAAGAATTTCATAACTAAATTAAAACTTAACTTTTCTACAGTAGTGCTTGTTTATAAGTGCTTATTGAAAACTTTAAGCTGCAACTGCATAGAAGGCAGACACAATGATTTGAATGCATTACTAACCAATAGAACCAAACAAATGAAGGAATTAAGTCCAACGAATTAACTATCACGGCCCCGTTTAGATAAACAGCTTAATTAAACTTATAAACTATTAGTGATTTTAATAAACTATCGCAGAATAGTAATGAAAAAAGCTTAGTTTAGTTTAGAGCCATGTCATAAGTTGCTGGTGTAACCTCTATCAAACAATATCCCAACAAGTGCTTATGCCACTACATAAACTCAATCAACCAATCCAAACAAGTCCTAACATATGAAGCACGAACGCTAACGACACTGATAGTAATTTAAAAAAAAATGAATAAATTAAACGTAATCGGTGTTAGTTTTGGACACCAACTTTGACACACATTTTTTCACAAATATGGATGCTACATAAATCATAACAAACTATCAAGAAGCTCAAATGCTCAAACATTAAGCTAAAGACAACCCAATATCCTCAAACATACACAGTTTAGTAATAACAACAACAACACGTTCCCCAAGGAGCGTAATTGTATGCATAGAATATCAAGATGTTCAAACAAAAGCACACATAATTGAAAACAAAACTCATCGAAATGAAAAAACGGTGAAGAAAAGTAAAAAGTATTGTCGTTTATTACCTTTGATTGAGACATGGTGCACCTTCTTATAGTTGAGATCACATAATATATGTTTCACTCATTTTATTTCTTTATTATACTTGTTTGTTGTTAATTAAATTAGCTACATTAAAGTGGATTTTTATGTAATTTTAAAACTATTTGTTGAATTATATAAAACAGTGCTGAATTGATTAATTATTTGGAATTCAGATTGGCTCCACATGTTTATCCAATGAATTATTCTCTTTTTTTGACAGAAAAATAAACATTGCAAATAGTAAAATAAATATTAAGAGAAATTTATAATCTAGGGTGGAATGATTGTTTACAGCTCTAACTAAAAAATAAATGAAAAATAACATAACAATTTCTCAAATGGAATCAGATTAAACATAAAATAAAAGAAAATTAGTTACAACATCTAGAGAAAGGTGATATCAAACTCTCAACATACACTTTAGGTACCACCGCATCATGGATCTTGTTTTGAAATTCAGGAAAATGAAAAGTATTATTTATGGAATCATAAACAACCAACCTATATTTATATTTCCTAGTCATCAAAATCTCCATCAGCACTCGGCGATCATCTGAAATATATAATACCTTGCTATAGCGAAAACGTCCCCAAGTTTTCATGTAAGGAATACTTAACAATTTAGTCCAAGACTTTTCATTGCCAAATTCTTTCATAATCCAAACCTCGGAAAACTTGTCCATCATGGAAATAAGAAGGGACAAACAACCCTTCAATGTCCCTAAGGTAGCAAAAATGAAATATTTATTACAGACGGAGACGGGCACGGGCAGTGAAAGCTTTTGATAAGACTCTGTCTTCAAATCAAGAGAGACAATGACCTCCCACGTCAACCAATTAACCGAGTCATTCATAAATATTCCCGTAGATGTACGGTTAAGTTTGAAATTTGAATTTCTCTCCAATTGATCACGACTTGGAAAGTCTTGAATCCTTCTCCAAGAATGTGTACCTAAAGTATGAACATGGACTTGTCTTTGGGTAATAAGGCCAATAAGAGCAATAATCTTATAATTATTAATGAAACGATCATAAACTAATGTAAATAAGATAGAAACATGACTTTGGTCTGGAAATTTCAAAGGAGGCGATATTATGAATTTTCTAATGGAAGGGTTAAACAAAATAGCTGAAGAACCATCTATGGAATAACATAGGATGCCGTCACAAGTGGAGACATGACCACCGCCATCAACATCGGATTCTCCTTTTTTAAGAATCTCTCTTAGAGAGTACATGGACATTGTGGTGTCTCTGGAGCTGCACACAGTGGAGACTGGGGATTCAAAATGACGAAACCTACTAGACTTTAGGATGAGATGGTGGCGGCCTTCGTTTGAGTTTGACGCGCGGAGGTGCTTCTTGGCGAAATCAGAATTTTCAGAGATAAGGGAATTCCATGACTTGCAAACGCAACGGAGTTGAAGGAGTTGTTTCACGGGAAGCCTACAAAGGATTTCTTCCACCAGATCCAACGGAAGATAATGCAGTGATTGGGTTGCTTGAGGTTGATTCCTTCGTGGTTGGGGTTGTTTCCTCCGTCTAAGCGGTGGTGATTTAGGTTGTTTTCTCCCGAGAAGCGGTGATGATTTAGGTTGTCTCTTCCGTAGCAGCGGTGTATTTTTTGTCATTGCTTTCTATGCTGTCTTATAAAAATAAGACCACAAAGCTACCTTTTATAAATTTATTTAGGTTTAACTTTTGTTTTTTTTACCCTGATTTCTCTTCCGGAGTCATCAAATATATTTTTCTTATCTTGAAAAATACTAACGTTTAGTTTTAGATTTATGTTATTTTAAAGGGAGTTAGTAATTCAGTTTTAGAAACAAATAAAGATTTATAATTTTTGTTATCTTTCAATAATTAGTTTACATTCTTTTTCTAAATCAATTTAATTTCATTAATATAAAATATTTTATTAAAAATTTCAAATAGTACCCTTAGACACAAGATACCAACTATTTTCTACTTTAAAACTTTAAAGCAAAAAAATCTAAAGTAATTTAACAAATTTATAGAGCTCCTAAATATGCTAAATAAAATATTTTTAAAAGAACATTTGTTTATCATAATTAGTTTTTAAAAATACCTTGTTTTAAGAACGCTCAATATCCAATTTTATAAAATTAATATAGGCCAATTAAATTTTTTAGAGAATTTAATATGATTTTTTTTTTAGATTAATTTGATCTTTTTCATTTTTAGAGGGATTAAAATTAGTGTTAATTTGACCCTATATTTCAAAAACTTAAGTTTTGATATTATTCATGAATATTTAACCAATTTTGATTTTATTTTTAAAAAGTTATGGGATCAAATTGTCTGGAAAAAAATTAATGTCGGGACTTAAATGTTCTTTTCTTTGTAAATAATACATGTGGAAGTCTAGTCACCAAAAGTAAGAAAAGACCGATTTTCTTTTTTTTGTGAGTAGAAGGAGGGTAAATAGGCTGAATCGAGTTAGATTTTATCAAGTTTAAGTCTGACATGGTAAAATTATCAAAGTCTAAGTTTGATCCATAGTATGTCATTGTTAGCTCACAAATTCGACGCCTCATATGGATTAAAATATTTAAATGAAATATTAGAGTCTTTTTAGAGGTAAGAAGGCTTTCGACAACCTTGAGATCTTCGAAGAGGGAAGTTAGTTGTTTTAGGGACTTAGAGAAAATTCTGAACTTTGAAAAGTTTGGCCTTCGACCAAGATGCTGGTTAGAGATTAATTAAGTATTTGAAATTCAAATAATTGAGGGAGTAGTTATACTTTCTGATAACTAAGAAGAACAAGTGGCACTCGTTGGGCAAAAGACTTCATGCGTTGTGACATGTGTCGGAAGATGATGACCTTAGAAGGTTATTGTTAGTTATTTTTACTATTATAAATAGGATTTCTAGACATAGAATTTAATGTGTTATAATTTACTATTTGTGCAAGTCATCACTAAATTTACTCAAAGTATCCGAGTGTAGAGAAAAGAGTATCAAGGAGAATGTACGTTATGTAAACACACCATCTTTACTTTTCAATGAAGTTTAATTTATTTGCTTAACTTTACAAAGTTTTTCTTTACTTTTCTTGCAACCTTTCTCCCTTCTATGGACTTTTACTTTATCTTCTTCCCCCATTCTTTTCTAAAAACTTATATCCCTTCCCTTCTAAAAACTATATCTTTTCTTTGTCTTTCAGTCGAATAAGCACTTTTTTATTAGAATCTTTTACCACAAAATTGTTGAAGTGTGTAACTTAGATAGATTTCCAAAATAAAGAATCTTTAGCACATGTCCTATTATCAATCTGATCGATCCTGTGAGTCACCAAAGCTAGATTTGGAAGATCAGCAGTTGATTTCTATTTTTCAAGGGAAACAAAATGGCACGCCCAGTGGAACAGTGCTAAAAGATTTTTTGCTAGCATAAGCAAAACTTGCAGAATTGCAATTTTATTTGTCTTTCGTGAGAAGTTCGTTTTATGTTACTAAGAAGTGGCAAAATTGTCGCTGCGAACGAAGAGAGACTAACAAGACAAAACGTTAGGGATATGGCGACAGACATAAATCAGCCAACCAACCCTAACCCTCAAGGAGACGGTTCTAACGAAGGCTTGAGAAATAACGTAGTTCTACCTTCGATACCTTCAACGGGAGAAAAAATGGTGCCTCCTGCGAGGCTAGAACCAGTATCATCAGTACTAGGGCCTGGGTCGACATGCGTAAGGACTTATAATCAACCAGTGTTAGAGTATATTGGACCTCAAGCGTCGAATCCCCAAACTCCATTAGAAGGGAAATCAACGTCTAGACAGTTGGTCCCTTCAGGGTTTTCACAACTATCAAAAAACCCTCCATATGGGATGCCAACAACTGTAATGCAAGGGCTTCAAAATGTCCCCCAATATTCTCAGATAATGCAATGGCTTCGCCATTGCAAGGATCAGGGTCTGGGTTGAACATTGGTCGAAATCCCCAAAGTCTAAGTTTGGGATATTCGACACAAGACCCTAATTTAACCAATACTTCGGTTGCGTGTTTAAGACAACAAATGGATGAGAGCAATTTGCAAATGGTCCAAACCTTATCCCAGACCATGGGTGAAATCTTTCAACCTTTAATCCAAAACACTACCCAAACTAACCAACAGTTAGCGACACAGTTAACACGCTTAACTGAATTCATGGGCGTACCTCCTGTGATTAGGAACGTGGCTACGGTGGAAAATATTCCACAACGGGGTTTGGGGAACCTAACTGAGCCCAATTTAGAGAATCAGGAGAGGGTCAAACCCCCCAGGCTCGAACTGTAACACCCTTTTCTACCCACAATTAAAAGGCACATTTTTCACATAAATCAGAGTAAAATATTTAACTCAATAAAATTCACCTCAAAGGGTGTACATTTCTCAATTTCTCAATAGCTTAGAGAGTACATGGACATTGTGGTGTCTCTGGAGCTGAACACAGTGGAGACTGGGGATTCAAAATGAAGAAACTTAATAGACCTTAGGATGAGATGGCGGCGGCCTTGGTTTGAGTTTGATGTGCATAGGTGCTTCTTGGCGAAATTAGAATTTTCAGAGATAAGGGAATTCCATGACTTGCAAACGCAACGGAGTTGAAGGAGTTGTTTCACGGGAAGTCTACAAAGGATTTCTTCCACCAGATCCAACGGAAGATCATGCAGTGATAGGATTGCTTGAGGTTGATTCCTCCGTCGTTGGGGTTGTTTCCTCCGTACAAGCGGTGGTGATTTAGGTTGTTTTCTCCCTAGAAGCGGTGATTATTTAGGTTGTTTCTTCCGTAGCAGCGGTGTATTTTTTGTCATTGCTTCCTATGCCGTCTTATAAAAATACTAACCACAAAGCTACCTTTTATAAATTTATTTAGGTTTAACTTTTGTTTTTTACCCTAATTTTTCTTAAGGAGTAATCAAATATATTTTTCTTATCTTGAAAATACTAACATTTAGTTTTAGATTTGTGTTATTTTAAAGGGAGTTAGTAATTCAGTTTTAAAAACAAATAAAGATTTATAATTTTTGTTATCTTTCAATAATTAGCTATGGGACATTCTTTTTTTAAATCAATTTAATTTCACTAATATAAAATATTTTATTAAAAATTTCAAATAGTACCCTTAGACACTAGATACCAACTATTTTCTACTTTAAAACTTTAAAGCAAGAAAATCTAAAGTAATTTAACAAATTTAAAGAGCCCCTAAATATGCTAAATAAAATATTTTTAAAAGAACATTTGTTTATCGTAATTAGTTTTTAAAAATACCTTGTTTTAAGAACGCTCAATATCCAATTTTATAAGATTAATATAGGCCAATTAAATTTTCTAGAGGATTTAATATGATTATTTTTTTAAATTAATTTGATCTTTTTCATTTTTAGAGGGATTACAATTAGTGTTAATTTGACCCTATATTTCAAAAACTTAAGTTTTGATATTATTCATGAATATTTAACCAATTTTGATTTTATTTTTAAAAATTTATGGGATCAAATTGTCTAAAAAAAATTAATGTCGGGACCTAAATGTCCTTTGTCTTTGTAAATAATACATGTGGAAATCTAGTCACCAAAAGTAAGAAAAGATCGATTTTTTTTCTTTGTGAGTAGGAGGAGGGTAAATAGGATGAGTCGAGTTAGATTTTGTCAAACTTAAGTCTGACATGGTAAAATTATCAAAGTCTAAGTTTGATCATAGTATGTCATAGACTTATTTTTAGGCCTAATTCTAATCATTATGAAGTATATTTCATTTGAACATATGTAAAAAAGTGATTCAATTAATGTTTATATAAATTAAAAAACTAAAAGATAAATGATACTAAAATTTTGTTTGCATAAAGTTATTAAGCTTATCTAGTAGAATAAGTTTTGTGAGATTATTTATTTATAAAAATTATTAAAATAACTTATGACATTGTTCATAACGAGTTTTCAACCTATTTTCATAATTTATTCAAAATAACTAAGTTTTATTTTTGTATTTTAATTCAAAGTACAAAATTATGCATGTCTATTTAAATAGACCGGTCTAATAGGCTTGAAAGACATTTTTTTATTCCCTGAGGCCTAGCGTTTTTAGCTAAATATGCCTATAAAAAGTCTATGCATTTTATAATTTTTTTAAAAAAGTCTAGTATGGTCTGGCCCATTGCAGGTTTGGCCGTAGAATCCTCTTAATTGGTATGAGATATTCCCACCCATATTTGTGAGAGATCATAATAGGTTTTTGCTCTTTTTTTAGATGATTTTTGGTATAGAAAGGACACATCATGGACAAGTGTTCTAGTTTGCCAAACTGCTACAAGATGATTTTCTAGTACAGAATGGACACATGTTGGACGCAATGTCTCAACATGTGGGTACGGCATTTGAGCCTTACTCAACATGCCAGATTGCTGCATTTTGGGAGATCTTTTGTTGAAGATTCAGTTAGATTTTATTGCTTTTATTTAGCAATATGATTATATAATTTTTTGGACTGTTGTGAAGATCAAATCATATTTAAATTTGAATTTAAATCAAACTAAATCATATATTTTTGTTAGAGATATGTATTGTAATTCTAGTTACCAACAGTGGATGTTACCACAAATGTTATAACATCCACAATAACATAG